GCTACAAGATACCGCATTCGTTTCTCTATCATAAGTTTTAGCTAGTTTCTGGCGATACTCTGACGTTCTGGGAACTTTCAACGACGGATGTGACAGATAAGACAGGTAAGTACCTCTTCTTTTTTCACAACTTCTAGAGTTACGTGTTTCTTTTGCATTTCCAGTCGCCATGTTGTGTTCGTATAAAAGCCGATCGACCCAGGCAGATATTACGCATGCTCAATACGTCGGCGTCTGTTTGTTTTCCTTTTGGCGGGATTTTTTGCGGCACGTTTGTCGGTGTATGTGTTAGATCTTGGCGCGAAACTTCAGTAGCTGTGAAACGTGAATTGCTTGGTTCATCAGACTCTTTTTCGACTGAACGTTTATTGTCGCTTCCCCTTTTTCGGGCAATCCAGTATCCAGGAAAATGGTGAGTACATTAAACTGTATAAAAAAACCTGAAAAACCCTAATCAGGTCACGTTTTAGTTCGTTTTTTAATAGCAATTATGGTGATAGGTAAGCTCAACGGTTCTACTTAAATCGGTGAGAAAAAATGGTAAAAGTTTACCTTCTTCATTCAGGTCGAATGCAGCGTTCAAGCCAGGGAATTGTTCTCTTAGAACTTCTTTGATACATTCGCAGCGTAAAATTCATTTTATCTTTGTGTCTGCGAACTGGAACTGATACAACTCGATCGGGCTCAGCTAGTGCATTTCAAATAAGAACGCGACAATAAATGCTCATCCTCGGTGTAAAAACCTGTAAAGTTTTTCTTTGTTTTCTAGCTATTGTTTTCCTTGGCTCTATTGTGTTGACTTCTCAGTGGCTCCTTTGTATTCATTGTTTTACGTCACTCGTGAGTTTCACAGGTTTTTACACCGAGGTAAACCCCAATAAATACTTAAGCTTATAAGCTTCCAGTGTAAAAGACTTGAGAAATTATTAATTTTCAGTAGTCATTTTTAATTCTAAAAGAGCGTCCTGTAGTTAAGGATATTTAAAGGGAAAAATACTAACAGAGGACGAACTGAAACGTTTTAGACTTTTTACTGGCTTTCTCGCAGTCGACCGGCTTAATTGTCACAAGTCGATCACGACCCGATATGACTTTCACAGCATCGGGAGTAGAAGCGTGATCATTTGAATCTTGACATCCATGGTTCTTGTCGTTTTCTTTTAACCTCAGTGATTTATAATTTCTGCAAATATGTTCTTCCACGTTCATGACTCGCATTTCAATTTTGTCATTGATTTCAGTCTTTTTATGAAAAGGCTTTGATATATTCACCACTGGTCACCAACAGAAACTATAAGTAACGCCTGATTGAACAACCGCTCATGTGTTTCTGTCACCGATTAATAACTAATTACTTTCTTTAGTATAACTAACTCACAACTTTTTTACTACTTGTTAATCGTTCTCGGCGAGGGCAAAATTGATATTGCGAACGTTAACCAAAATATATACCCTTATATATCCCTGACGATTGCGTCGAAGTAGTACAGTTCCTTGAAATAATGACTTTGGTGAGTGTTCTAAAATTTTTGTGCCCCCTTTAAAACATGTTTGAAATTAACAAGCATCAACGCTGTATTACCTTGACTGCCGGCATGGGTAACAGGGACTGTGAACGGAGACCGGGCCGCCATTTCTTGTATTTCTTGGATCAAAAGTAACTAACCGGGAAGGTAGTTTCCCATACATGTGCACATATTCCTGTGAGCTTCAGGCTCAGGTTTTTGTTATTCATGATTCCAAACAAAAAAATGGGACCCACGACTGGTGTCTCAGATTACCAAAACTATTAAATGTGTGTGCTTTTCTCTGACATCGAAAGAGCAAATTTGTTTACATTGTGCTAGAATACTTTCATAACTTTTTTTAACTACCCCTTGTAGGTGAAACCAAATGGCTTTGCAGTAGTTGAATGGAATCGACCAAATGGAAGAAGTGAATTGGAAGCGATTATTGTGAAGAAGTTAGCTGTCAAGGAAAGTGTAAGAGCTGGGGCCATTGCTGAAATGCAATATGATGGAGAAATTTGGGGGAAAAATTCTCTCTCTCCATGGTAAGACTAATAGTTCAAGTGATTTAAGCTGTCATGAGCATGTACTTGTGCATCTGTCAGAACTCTGGACCACATAAGAAAAAAAAAACTTACTGATAATGATAATAAATATACATTTACAGTTGTAAAGTGATGACTGTTATTTTGCCTCTGCATGAATGACTGCTAAGAGGGGTAAAGAAATCGTTCTTTCTCACACAAAAAAGAGTCCTAACCCTTTTTTTTAACTGGCCTTTTTCAGACAGTATGAGTGATGCTAGAAGTGTTTTAGACAAGGAGCTTGGAAATTCTGGAACAGAAGAAAACAGTTCAAACTGTGAACAGAATTCATCCCCCAGTAAGAAGCAGAGAAAGAGAACAAAGAATAAACGACTTGATGGATATGAAACCAGTCAAGGTACAGTAAGCTGTTATTTGACACTAACAGCATATAATGGTTTAAAGTCACCGCGAAAAGGGAACTACATGTAAGTGTTATAAAAAACTAGTCACTGAGGACATTATTGAAGGTGGTTGCTCCTTGTTCCCTTAAATTTCAATTTACAGAGGTAGATAATAAAATAATAATTATCAAAGTTCTAAAAACATTTAACCTGTATAACCGCCCTGTATATAGCGGTCACCCTGTGTATTACGGTCACCGGACAGGTTCCCAAATATTAATTTAGCCGTATATTGTCTGTGTAGTGGACCTGTATAATGGTTACCTGGCCATTTCCCAAGGGTGACTGTCATAAACAGGCTTGGCTGTATTTTGTTACAGCTACTACAAATTCATTGTTTTTGGGAGACTCAATTATTCAGACCTTTTTCTTATACATTATTATTTTATCCTGTTATTTCTTAAAGATGATGAACCTTCCAAAAAAAAACCCAAGACCTCTGAGGGCAGAAAGAAAGCTGGAGGAAGCAAAGAAAATGACAGTGAAAGTCAAAATAGGAAGAAAAATGCCCGAAAAGATCATGATGATGCAGCAGAAAAGGAGCGAAAGCGAATTGAAAAGGAGCAGGCAAATAAGCAAAGAGAAAAGGAACGGCAGGCCCTTACTGAGCGAAATAACATGTTGCTAGAAAGGATGACTGCTTTGGTGAGTAATCAAAGTGCAGAAGATCCCTTTGATTCCGATGTTGTCTCAGAGTGTGTGGATCTCACAACTTCATCAACACCACCATCAAATCCTGTTCATCGTCTTCAGAACACAGTAAATGAGTTACGGAGTGCCACACCAGAAAGAGTGTTGTCAATCTCACAGCTTCAAAAGACACTGGACATGCTGCAGGGCAATTCAGAGGACCCACCAACCACACCATCTATTTGTCAGACAGCAATTCCATCACTGCAGAGAACCTCTCTGACCACACTGCAGGATGTGTGGGAAGAACCAGTATCCACAACACCAGTTCAGCAGATGCCAAATTCCACCACACCAGTGTCAAGATCTCCTCTGACAACTCTGCGTGGCAGATTAACAGAAGTGCCACTGTCAATACCAAATCAACAGAAAGAAGCCACCATTTCAGGAGCACAAAGAACCCCACTGACAAACACACCCAGAAATTTTCCAAACAGAAGACAAGACTTAGTAGCCAGACCAACTGTGGGTGGTAAATGCCCCAGACGAGTTCTACCACAGCCGCTCTCAAGTTCAGATGAAGAAGAGTATTGTCCATCATGCGTAACACGCAAAAAAGAGAGTGAGGGAACTTGAAGATCAATTAAAGAGCTTGCAAGGTCAAGGTATGTATGAGGAAGTTTATGTGATAATCCCTGAAAATTAAAGAATGAGAGTTAAAAAGAAAACAAGCAGTCTTGTTGTGAATAAAAGAAATAAGGGTATTAGAAAAAGGGATGCACATAATCCAGTTAGTCTGCTTGGGGGCACCCTGTTTTTTGGTGGTGGATCGATCGATCCACTGTCTGGTCTTTGTCCACTAATTACAGTAAACACCTGCATATAAGAACCTACTTTTTTGAAGTCTGGCAAAATAGGTTCATGTATTTTGGGGTACGTATTGCCAATTTAGGCTAAGTAGGTTCTTAATTTTTATGAAGGAGATAATTGATCATTGAGTACCAGAAAAATAAATGAACTCGGTTAAATATGCAGTATTTATTCGTAACTATTATAACCTAACAAAACTATATAATTACATGCAAGGTGAACTTTCGATCTTGTTAATAACTATAGTCATTCCTATCATTATTTTTAAGTTTCTGATCCTCCAAGACCTGGAAAGATCAGTCCCATTCTAGCAGAACGCTTTAAGGTAAGCACTTCATTCACCATTTTAATCACAGAATGTGCATGCTATTGTAGACAAATCAGTGTAAAGTTTTTGTGCAAATCATGTAGTCGTCAATGGCTAATTTGATGTTTGCAAGAGGTTCGACCCTACTAGACCTTAGTCAGGCTTACAGTTTAACCCATTTGCTCCCAGATAATATGCAGCAGAAAACCACTCTTTCGAGCCATTTAAGACCTTTTCTGGTTCTTACCAGGCTGAAAAGGATCTACAATGTAGATGTGAACTACCCGAAAGACATACTAACAATTCAAGTACAATGCTGATAGTTTCTGATGCTAAATTTTAGCATTGAAGTTCAGGCATCAGGTAAAAAAGTTCACTGCCTCCACGACTGTTTTTTTCACTTTCCCTCGTCCTCACCTCTTGCTTTCCTTGCCCTTTTTTTCTTTTACTTTTGTGGGGCATTTCCTTGGGCTAGTCCCTGCAAGCCACAACTTGCCCAAAGGGTAAACTGTAAGCTGACTTTCTTTACACGCCCTTGTTATGTGTCAAAGTTGTCAATGTCTTTTGAGCATTTGAAATGTGACATGCGGCAGAACATGTGGAATTATTATACAGGCTGTTCAGGTGTGTATGTCTATATAAAATTGCTATCATAAAAATAACATGGCTGTTTTTTTTTTCTTCTTAATTCCAACAGATGGTAGAGTTGACTCCTGGTTCTCAAGTTTTTGTGTACCAGAACCATATTCACCAAGCAATGGCCAGAGCGTCGTATAAGTCAGCGGCATCGTTTTTGTTAAACTGTTTTTACACAAACGACGAGCTGGTGGGGATGAACCTGACTGGAGCAAATGGAAAGAAATGCCCAGACAAGGAGATACTTCAAAGCATTATAGGTATGTGTGCAATAACATGATGACTATGTAAATTAATAGTCTCTCAGAAACTGCTTTTTTTTTTTAATTTTCCCATCCATAAATTCACTACTCATGTTGTAATGATTTTTGACCCTCTTTACAGGATTTGTCATGAGAGAATACCAAAAGCATTCGCCAACTGAGTCCTCTCTGAAGCTGGCTTTAAGAAACAAGCTGAGTGCTTTGGAATCAAGAAAGTTAAAGAAGGATGAGTGAAAAGCTTAATTTTTTTTCTTCTGTAATATAATTATGTACGCAGAAAAAGTTAATGTTGTGACAGATAAGTAGATGGCCTGATTCAGATTACTAATTTCATTGCAAGTTTGTTAGGGCATTCGGTTATTGTCCTTTTCAGCAAGCAGTCTTTGGGTTTGAAATAATTATGAAAAAATATTTATTAAATGTTAAGTACAATATATAAGCTATTTCTACAGTGAAAATAATATTGTGTTTTAAAAATTATTGACATACTGTACGTCTGTTACTGTTAAAAAAGCTCCAAATAAAATTTATTGTTACAAGCAAATATTGAACATTTTTTAGTGAATTTATGTAGAGCCAGGGTGGTCATGCATGCCTTTGTCCTTACTGAAATTTATGGGTTTCAGCAACTTAATTTAGAAGTGTACAAATTGTATACTTTTTGCAAGTGTTATACAAAAAGTATACTTTTTGTGGTCTTTTCTGTGTATGAAGCATGTATACCATTAGTATACATCCTCTTGGAGAGGTATACTTTTTGTATACATCGGGGTGTTCCAAATTACTAGTACAAAAAGTATACATCAAGTGTATACAAAATGTATACATCAAGTATACCTAAAGTATACCCAGTGCAGTATACTTCATGTATGTTCGGAGTATATTATAAGTATATTTCATTTTGTTAAGGGTAGCCAGATCTTCAGCTGTGCAGGCAAACATTTCTTTTACACCAATGTAAGTCGGTGATGTGACCTTAGCATGTCCATAATTCAGTAATTTGCCTTGTTGTACAGCTGAGTTAATATGTTAGATCTTTGGGGTTACTGTACTTTTCAGGTGACAGCACTTGACAAAGCACTGGTCACTATAATTTATTATTTAATATTCTACTACATTTCAAATGACAAATGATTTTCCTTTTGAAATTTTTGCAGTCAAAAACTCTTGTTTTACATCTATACATAATTATCGTTCAGTGATATTGTGAAATCTTAAATTGGTTCATTTTGCAAGTGACGACATAAGTTTGCCAGGTCTTGAAGCATATGTGTCATTCTGAGTGACCAGTGTATTATTGTTCCACATTTAAATGACAAATGATTCTTATTTCATAATTGTACCATCCAAAACTCTTATGGTTTATACATATGGTTCAGTGATACTGTGAGATCTTAATTTTGGTTCATTTTGCGAGTGACGGCACTTGCCAGATCTTGGAGCTTACAGTATGTGTCATTATGAGTGACCACTGTATTATTGTTCCACATTTAAATGACAAGTGATTCTTCTTTCATAAATTGTACCATCCAAAACTCTTATGGTTTATACATATGGTTCAGTGATATTGTGAGATCTTAATTTTGGCTCATTTAAAAAAAAAAAAAAAGTGAGTGCGAGTGACGGCATTTTTTTCATTTTGCGAGTGAACCCTATGTGTCATTCTGAGTGACCACCGTATTATTGTTCCACATTTAAATGACAAGTGATTCTTCTTTCATAAATTGTACCATCCAAAACTCTTATGGTTTATACATATGGTTCAGTGATATTGTGAAATCTTAATTTTGGTTCATTTTGCAAGTGACGGCATAAGTTTGCCAGATCTTGAAGCCTATGTGTCATTCTGAGTGACCACTGTATTATTGTTCCACATTTAAATGACAATTGATCCTTCTTTCATAAATTGTACCATCCAAAACTCTCATGGTTTATACATATGGTTCAGTGATATTGTGAGATCTTAATTTTGGTTCATTTTGCGAGTGACGGCGTATGCCAGATCTTGAAGCCTATGTGTCATTCTGAGTGACCACCGTATTATTGTTCCACATTTAAATGACAAGTGATTCTTCTTTCATAAATTGTACCATCCAAAACTCTTATGCTTTATAAATGTGGTTCAGTGATATTGTGAGATCTTAATTTTGGCTCATTTTGCGAGTGACGGCGTATGCCAGATCTTGAAGCCTACGTGTCATTCTGAGTGACCACCGTATTATTGTTCCACATTTAAATGACAAGTGATTCTTCTTTCATAAATTGTACCATCCAAAACTCTTATGCTTTATAAATATGGTTCAGTGATATTGTGAGATCTTAATTTTGGCTCATTTTGCGAATGACGGCACTTGCCAGATCTTGAAGCATAAGTGTAATTCCAAGTGACCACTGTATTACTGTTCCACATTTTAAGTGACAATACCTCATTATTTATACCTTTTGTACAGCTCAATGATGTTGAGGGATCTTTGGTAGTTCATTTTGCGAGTAAATGCTTTGGCTTTATCATGCCAAATAACCACAATTAATTAACTATTGTTCTAAGCAACATGTGGGTTGCCTTATATTAATGTTACGTTTCTCAGGTTCTGACCGGTTTTACGGTTTATGTGTACAGTTGAGTCATGGCTGTGCTCTGTTAGAGCCTGGTGACCTGTGGGACACTGTCAGTTCTGCTCTTGAATGACAGGGGAATTAATTTATTTCAGTTTTTATTTACACTTAAAAGAGTCTTAATGAAACAAATGCAGATTCAACAGAAAGAGGCATTTCTGCTCTCTACTTTAACACCTGTTCCAAAAAACATATTATATATTTAATGAAAAAGTTAGTAGAAATAAAATGCAGGGAGAAATTTTTCTCACAAATATCCTCAAACTGTTCCTTTGATTAAGAGAGTGTTTTCAGCTTTTAGCATCGTGTCATTGTTCTGCAACCCAATCATTTACACTGAGTATGAGCAGTACATGCTTGTTTACCAACTGTGGGTTACTTGTTGGCTGCTAAATCATGGCTCTTCATTTTTCTTTCAGAAAAAAAGTTAAAGGGCCAATATGCTCTGAGGGAGTCAACTAGCATCAGTCAGTCAGACAAGGACAAGTACCTTGCATGTATGTCCGTTGCATATATGTCATCAGAGGAGTCTTTGTCTGAAACAGCTGTATCAGAGTGGCATGAAGGTAATTCTTCAGGTTCGGATGAGGACCTCCCAAACAGGGAAAATCTCTGTGTAAGGCCACTTTCCTGGCAGAGCATTGAGGTTAATGGTTTAATGGCCCAGTTGGACCGCAAAGTTGCATGGTGTCAAAGCCAATGAAGTGAAAATAATGGTAATAGAGCACACAGTGAGACCAGCATCAAACCAAGGAGCACCAGATCAAGCTAGATGATGCTCCTGAGTTTGCTCTGGCACCCACCACTTACAATAGAAAATTAGGAACTTGATCATAAGCATAACACAGATAATTTTTTGAAGAACATTCAGAAAAGAAGAAGACATTTTAGATAAAAATTTACAAAAAAATAATAACACTCAAGTTGAAGTTGACATGCATCATGATTCAGTTCCTTTTCAGTTAAGTTCCTAGAACCATATTTACTCAGTAGACAATTGCACAATTTTTTGAGTTTTGATGAAGACCTACAATGTAGTAAGTGAATATCCTTTGACACCCATGGGAAGGAGCCACGTTAAAACTAGGTAAATTACCAAATCTCAAAGTGATTTGTCACAATCCAATGAAAATCTTGCCTGTGTTGCAGACACTCTAAACCTTCTGTATAGAGCATGCCGTCCGAGAATTAGTGCACAATATCATGTTTGAACCCCACAGGGTCACAAAGACATGCATGTATGTCAGCGTTTTGTGATTGGCTAGGTTCTTGCGCTGTTTGTGATTAGTCCGATTTGAAATAAAGTGTTGACACAAAGTCACATAATCCCAATGACCTTTGTATGGTATGGTGGAGCCACAAACTTTCCCTTACCAGACAAATGTCTGCCAAATTTGCCATCTTTGCAGAGCTGTCCTTGTTAGTTTGCACCGAATCACTCTGTAACTTGGCAACTTTCCTAAATTTTAAAAACCTTCCATCTAGTAGCCTGTAGATGCAGCTGTATTTTCAGTTGTCGTGTCCATTCACCCAACATATGTAGTTGGAGATACATCTGCATCCACTTTCCGCCGTGGTGACAGATCCTAGGGCTACCCTAAGCACTGCGTTAAAAAGTGCCACTCTGAGGACTAAATCTAGCCAATACACCCCATAGTAGAGTAATTACTGGACTCCAAATGCCATCATCCTATTTTGTTCTTGGCATATTTTATGAAAAAAGAGTGCAGTTATGTTTTATGCCGTGTGTGATAACAGTTTTTTGATAAGCATGGCTTAAATTTTAATCACCTGCGTGCCAATAACAATAATAATGATGATGAATTAAAGAAGTTCTACAGAGCTTTCATAGTGTATAGATTGTGTTTAGATAATTTGGAAATTTAATCAGTCCAATACTGCAAGCAAAACAGCTGACCATGTGAATCAGAAAAAAATTGCTCAAAATTTTTAGCAAATAATTTGATTTTAGTAGAAAAAATAAATGTAATAAATTATTTATGGTCATATAATAATACAAGAATTTCACCAAATCATATTATTTACAGTGATATAATAATAATAATAATAATAATAATAATACAAGTATTTAACCAAATCAGTGGATAGCAGATTTGCTTTCATAACTTGAAAAGCTTTTGGCTACCTATAGGATGAGAGTAAAATTGGGGTGTCATTTCATGCTAGTTTAAGAAGTTTAGCAGTAAATGAAGCACCTGTAAAATAAAATACATGTACATGCTAAAAAGGTGACAAAATTAACCTTATAAGTGTTTAATATATCAAAATATATCAAAGTCGTACCCAAATCATAGAAATGCACAGAACTTTCGCATAGTAACTCATTTTATTTACAAGAAATATTTTTATATAACTGATTTGGTTAAAAATGAATCATACAGTTCTATCTCCCCTTGGGGTAAGTGATTAGCACTAGGTACACTATATAATATTAGTCACTGCCTATTTTGGGTAGTGGATAATATTTATCAGATGAAAACAAGTTCTTATGAATAATAATTAGAGGAATATCGCTTATAACAATAATTTGATGCTAATTTTATTTCCTGTGGTTGATGTTCTGTCCATTAGTAAGGATGTCACATCTACATTGGGAGTGATGTGTACGTGTTGTCATCGTACAACCATTTGCCAATAGTATCAATTGAATCTAGAAAGAGTATATTTGAAGTATACCACTCAAATGGAGTTACGTTTTACCTGTACCAACCTTAGATAATTATGAACCAGCTAGTGTTGACTTGCACTTTCAAACCCAATGTACATTCTTATACACTTATGAATTTAGATAGTTTCACATTGTATGTGCTTTATATTTAAAGACATATATTTTGTGGTACATGCAGTGCCCTGCAGAGGCCAATGGAACTTTCTTTTAATTTATCTTGCTTTTTATTGTACAGTGTATATTAAGATAATAAAGTCATTTTATTCTTGAAATTTTGTTTGGTGTCTAAATTGTTTGTCAGTCATTTATGGTTCCAAATAAAAATAAGAAACATGTGGATAATGATGTTTTGATGAAATTTGCTATCTTGAGCGAAAGTGTAAAAAAGTGATATTTTAATCAACTCTGTTTACCTTACCTAAAGTATGGAAAACTGCTATCATGGCAGTATTTGCCATCCTGAGCAAAGATACAGAAGAACTGATATTTGATCAACTTTGCTACAATGGGGAAAAGTATGGGAAACTACTGTTTTGATCATATCTACCATCCTGAGCAAAATTGAGAATAAAGTGGTATTTGGCCAAATTTGCTACCCTGAGCAAAACAGTGGCAAACGCCTATTTTGATCATATTTGCCACACTGAGCAAAGATACGGAAGAAGTGATAATTTGACCTCATTTACTACACTGGGCGATACACAAATAAGGTGAATTTTTGCTCAGATTTACTATCCTGGGCAAAACTGTTGAAAAATGAGTTTTGGTCACTTTTGCTACATTGAGCAAAAATGTGGCAAATTACTACTTTGACCGAATTTGCTATAGAGAGCAAAAGCATTCAAAAATTCATGTTCGATCGCTTTTGCCCATTTGGGCAAAAACCTGACAAATGTCAGTTTTGCTATCAAGTTTGACACCCCTGTAAATGCCTTGATAAAGTAAAGGTTATCCTTGTTTTTACACACGGGGCAAATTTGAGGCAACTTCGCCATTTACCACCTTTGCCACCAATGCAAAATTATGGCAAAGTTGGTCCTATGTCATGTGGCAAAATTGAGCAAAATTAAGCAAATGTGGCATTTGCAGATGATTTGCTCCAAATTTGCTATAGAGGTAAATCCGTTTTTTCGTCCAGTGCAAGTTGATGAATTCACGCTCGCGCGTTCTAGCCTTTTTTAACACTGTATTATTCCCGGAAGGACATCGGTGAGCAAGGAATAAGTCAGCACACAATAGCTGTGGGCACACTACAGAATTTTTAAAATGAAAGATAATAGGCCCAAGTTTGTACTGCCACGTTCGCAGGTTTTCGGCCGCACCTTTCTCTTCTTAAATATTGGTAATTTTAGCTGATATACAGTGTTTGTATGGCGAGATCAATATGACCGTTGTATGGCGCTGGCGTAATTTGCCGAGGAACCGAGAGTAAGGACCTCAAAACTTCGCACAAAGTAGCCTCATTCTGCCACAATAACATACCGACGTTCGCAGGTTGTTTAGTCCAAATTTTATTTTGATTTATTTTTGCGTTCACTTCCCTTTTGGACACTACGTGACTACTTATATCATGTTAGTTTCGGATGGTCACATGACCACAGCAAAAACAGATCACCACGTGTTTTCAAGTGTAGTGTTATAGAGCAAATGTTTTGAATTTCTCATCGATTGCATCGCACAGAATGTAAGTAGTTTTCGCTCTTTAGTGTCGCTTTAGGTTTATTTTGGTTTTCTTTAGGTTTATTTGTCATTTTTGCTTATTTTATGTTCAGTTTTCACCGTTCATGACCAGTGATCACCGATCGAACCAAGCACGAGAAACTTGGCGATTAAAGACAGATTAATAGTCCAATCAACGCGTCGAAATTTCTGTGTCGACCCCAACATTGTGAAAAATTCTGCAAAGTACGAAGAGAAAACTGTGTTTTCACCTGGATTTTCGAGAAAACGAACGCTCAGAACCGACCGAACGGAATCGCAGGAATCTCTGGACTGGACCGCGCGATAGTGGATCGCGGAATGGACCCTGAGGACTCAGCGAGAGGAGCAGTTGGATACCCCACGCCAGGACCCCGTACCAAATACTCAAATTGATTTTAGTGAACTCGTGCATCAACGCGCGAAATAAGCGAACAACGCAGACTTGCATCTTTGTGGAACAAGGAATCTAAAGAAGTTGCCTTTGAAACACAGCAGCTCCAAACTCTCCTCTACACTAATTGGGAGCACTTGTCCGCCCGCAAAATAGTAGATCATTTAGCTATCATTTGAAATCCTTTGAGACTGTACACTGAAGTACCTGCCAGGCATACGTGACAGCAAACGACTACAAGAAGTACAGCAAAGGTTCAAGTCCCTCAAAGAACAGATGATGTTTACAATAGAAGAATGCGAAACGCAAATACGGACTGATCAAGAAACACAAGAACGTGATGATGAACGCTCCATTAAAAGTCACAAGTCGCACCAGTCTCAGAGCTCCACTACTTCAAGATCCTCTTCGTCGTCCCGGAAAGAAAGGTTTAGAGCCATGCTTTTAGCAAAAAAAGAAATTGGAGTTAGCGAAGAGTAGGGCACAAGAGGAAGCTGAGTTGGCGAAGAGTAAGGCTCAACAAGAAGCCGAATTGGTCAAAGCAGAGCATGAGCGGAGCGCAAAGAAGGAATTGAGACTACTCGAGGACGAAGCCGTTCTAGCTGAACTGGATTGGAAGATTGAAAATGAGTTCGACGAGGAAACTGGTGTTGTTAATGGTGTGGACAATATTGTTCAGACAACCTATCCCATTGAGGAGAAACCACTGGGACAGTCACCTCAAATTCAACTTGATGATTCACAACCCCGAACACCAAAAATCCCAGCACCGACACCCAAACCTTCACTGCCTCTTATACCTGTCAGTTGCTCCACCCCCCAAGACACAGCACCTGGTTCGTGCAAGGAAAAGCCAGCCACTGAGGTCAAATCCAATATTGCCGATACTGCAAACAAGGGAGCACTGCCAGTCACTGAATGCCAGCAGCCACCATACCAAGCCCCACGAACCTTCCAGTATAGACCTAAGTCTCAGCCAGAAGACAAAGTAATAGAGCAAGCCCCTAAAGACCATGTAGCAGCCATGTGGAAGGTACAGCTTCTGAACGGAATCTCTCCTACACCCTTTAATGGCAACCCAGCAGACTTCCGTTCTTCAAAGAACAAGCACATACTCACCTTGAAAGTGAGCTACTAACTGATGCGCAGCGGGTAGAGTACTTACCGAAAAGTTCCTGAAAGGAGAAGCCTTGGAGGTCATCAAAAGAAACCGAGGCTCCTCCTATAGTGAGCTAATGAAGATCTTAGAGGAACGCTTTGGTCGCCCTATTCAGGTGACGCAAGCCTGCATCGAAGAGTTAGTCTCAGGCCCCAAACTTGCCTATGGTGACAACATGGGTCTGCTTAATTTTGCCGAGAAGCTGAACACTTCAACCAAGGTTCTGAAGGGAGATGTGGAACGCGAAGCAAGCGTAGCTACCAATTTAAGAAGAATCGTAAACAGACTCCCAAATGATTTAATCACCAAGTGGCAGACCGAAAACTACGAGATTGTTAGCCGTGGTGGAACTGCACGACTAAAGGACATTGCAAAATTCGTGAAAAGGCAAGCGTCAATAAGGAATGACCCAGTGTTTGGAATGCAGCCGCAAAGGGGAGAAAACAGGACAAACAAGTCCCCCCCCAAAGCTTCTAAAGGATCGGACCTGCCCACGAAAAACGCTACGATCAACGCCACATCGCTTAAGAACGCCCCCAAGAAAGAGAACTCTGCAAACTGTGCAATTTGCAAGTCTACTCCCCACCGACTCCAGGAGTGCCCAATCGTCAAACAGTGTGACCGTGTAGCCGTGCGTCGACAATACGCAGCATCGTATGGGTTCTGCTTTAACTGTGGTTGCCATAATCCCGATCACAGTGGTACTTCCTGTCCTGAGCCACCAGCTTGTTCTCTGTGTCCTGGACACCACTTACCAATACTGCATAGGGACAACAACAATGGACGCAGAACTCCTGGAAACAAGAACACTCATAACCCCACTAACCGATACAGTACTCCGACTGCTGACCCAATAACCCGGCAACCACAAATGGAGCAAGGCACAAGACAGCCGCCCAGCGACAGGCCACAGACTTCGATTACATCTGCCGGTGTCAGCACCACAAGAGCCCAAGTTTTGTTAAATGTAGTTCCTGTAACCATTACTGCAGAGAACGGTGGTTCCCTTTCTACATATGCATTTCTTGACAATGGGTGTACCGATACCCTCATTGACAAAGAGCTTGCTGATCATCTTGACCTGAAAGGGATCTCGGAGCAAATCGGGATTAAGACTATTACGAACAGTGAGGAGCTGGTGGAGAGTCGACGCGTTTCCTTTACTCTCAGTCCTGTAGAAGCATATGGTGAAGACATTGATGTTAATGAAGCTTACGTTCTCCCTGACCTGAATCAATCAGAACGAGTTTTGCCGGGGACAGTAGATGTCCATAAGTATCCGCACCTTCAAGACCTTACATTCCCAGTGGTGGACTTTAAACGAGTCTCGATCATTGTGGGGAGTAACATCCCTGTTGCACACTTGCAGAAGGAAGTCAGAATCCCGAAAGACAACAAGAGCGGCCTCTACGGTTATCGGTACCCTCTCGGTTGGAGCATTTCGGGTCCATTGACTATCGCTGGGACAAGAAGAGCTGAGCTCAATTTCATCTCTGTTGGACACAAACCTGACGACTTTGTTGAAAGGTTTTGGAAGATCGAAGACTATGGAACATTGAAAGCAGGAGAGAAGCCCTTATCTGTGGAAGACAAACGAGCCCTAAAAATCATTGAAGAAACTACTACCTTTGTAGACGGGCATTATGAAGTTGGCCTACTATGGAAGGAAGATCAGCCAAAGCTGCCAAACAATCGCATTTTAGCTGAAAGACGAGCAGAATTGCTTAGACGACGCCTGACCAAAGCAGGAAATGAGCAAATGGCTGCTAAGTACCGTGGAGTCATGACTGAGTACATCTCGAAGGGCTATGCACGCAAATTGTCCCCTGAAGAAGCAGCTAGAGAAAGCTCGATAACTTGGTACTTGCCTCATCATCCAGTGACCAATCCCAACAAACCTGACAAGCTCCGTATCGTCTTCGATGCCGCATCTGAGTATGAAGGAACATCTCTAAACAAGAATCTCGTTCAAGGGCCAGACATGACAAACAGTCTCGTTGGTGTGCTGCTACGATTTCGACAGGGGCATGTAGGGGTAGCCGCTGATGTCGAGGCAATGTTTCATCAAGTGCGTGTGCGTAAACAAGATCAAGAAGCTCTACGATTCCTCTGGTGGACAGATGATTACGACAAACCCCGGATGTCTATGTTATGGAAGTACACATATTTGGAGCAACCTCGTCCCCTTGCGTTGCAAATTCGGCCCTGAGAAGAACAGCCAGTGACAATGCTGAAAGGTTCAACCCGCAAGTTGTTGCAACTGTTGACAGGAACTTTTATGTTGACGATGCTCTGCCATCCTTCAGTGAGGAGAATGCAGCATCTACTGTAGCATCGGACCTAGTGAAAATCCTGAATCACGGTGGCTTCAACCTTACAAAATTCATGACGAACAGTAAGAATGTTTTGGCAACCATTCCCACCGAGAAAAGAGCCTCACCAGATCTGAATCTTGACTTAGACGAACTGCCAGTGGAAAGGGCGCTAGGGATTCGCTGGTTTGCTGAAACAGATGAGCTTGGATTTGACATCAAGAACTTGAATCGACCGAAACAAAGCGTGGAGTACTGTCCGCCGTTTGTTCCCTGTATGACCCTCTTGGGTTTGCTGCGCCTGTGGCCCTTACTGCCAGAGTAATTATCCAGGATATGTGGAAGGCTAAGGTAGACTGGGACCAGCCACTGAAGAAAACTTCTTAGCCAGATGGAAGTCTTGGACCTCACAGCTGCCATCCCTCTCTGCACTGCGCATCCCACGTTGCTACTTGCCAGCTGGAACAGATGCTTCCAAATGCAAACTACAGCTGCATATCTTCTCTGATGCCTCTGAAATTGGCTACGGTGCATCTGCGTATCTAAGAGTCGAGAATCCAGATGGGTCTATTCACTGCTCGTTTGTTGTGGGGAAAGCAAGAAATGCACCTGTCAAGTTCACAAGCATTCCAAGGCTTGAACTCCAAGCTGCTGTTCTGTCTACACGCTTGAATAAGATGCTGAGAGAAGAGTTGGACCTTCCTATTCAGAGCACCAAGTTCTGGACAGACAGCGAAATAGTTCTCCACTACTTGAAGAATGAAAGGCGTCGTTTCCAGACCTATGTCGCTAATCGAGTCGAAGAAATCAGAGGAAACTCACAGCCAGACGACTGGAACCACGTGCCAGGTGTCTTGAACCCAGCCGACGATGCGTCACGTGGCTTGAACCCCTCTGAGCTAAACCTTGATCTCCGCTGGCTACGAGGACCAGAGTTCTTATGGCAACCTGAATCCTTTTGGCCCAACGCAAGCCTTCGACAAGTCCCCGATGAAGGCCTAGAGCTTAAGAAAGAAACCCATGCTAACTGTACTGACATAAACACCAATGTCAAGACCCGCCAGGCAAGCGTACAGTCTAGTTGCCCCCCCGCCACACCTGTTGAGACCACCATGCAACAAATAATAAGCACCTCCTCTGATTGGAACCGTCTCAGACGTCAAGTGGCTTGGCTCACACGCTTCACTCATTTCATCCGTGACCGGAAGACTGTCCACACAGGTCATCTGACTTTAGAAGATTACGATGCTGCTACCTTATCCATCGCAAAGATCGTCCAGCACGCAGCCTACGATCAAGAGATCAAGGATCTAAAGACCAGGGGCGAAGTCAGGGGATCCAGTAAGATCGCTAGTTTGAACCCAATGCAAGACGACCATGGTGTTTTGAGAGTCAAGGGACGTATAGCATCACCACCAGCTGCTGACACTGCCAGGAATCAAATAATACTGCCCAGAGATCATCCAGCGACAGTCCTGATGGTCCGCCACACCCATGCATCAATTGGTCACCTGGGGCGTGAACACCTCATAGCAAGGGTTCGAGAGACGTTCTGGATCCCACAAATAAGGGTGTTAACTCGTTCTGTCCTGGGTCGGTGTCTTGTTTGTAAGAAGTTGAATGCCAAGCCGATGACTCAGCAAATGGCTCCCCTGCCAAGAAGCCGGATGATGGCGTACGAACCCCCATTCTCCTACACAGGAATGGATCTATTCGGTCCTTTATACGTCAAGCATGGAAGAGGAACAGCCAAACGGTGGTGCTGCTTATTTACCTGCCTAACGACACGTAGTGTACATCTTGAATTGGTTCACTCGATGGACACAAACGACTTCATAATGTGTCTGCGACGATTTATGAACCGTCGTGGTGAAGTGACTGAACTAAGGTGTGACAGAGGATCAAATTTTGTCGGCGGTGAACGAGAGCTGAGAGAGTCGATCGAGCAGTGGAACCAGCAACAAATTGTGCAAGAGCTTCTACAACGAGGGTGCAAATGGGTCTTCCAGCCGCCAACTGCTTCTAGCATGTCTGGGATTTGGGAGCGGATGGTGCGAAGTGCTAAGACTGTTCTGAAGTCTATCCTAGGGACCCAAGTAGTTACGGAAGCAGTTCTTCAGACGCTGTTGACTGAAGTTGAACGAGTGTTAAATGGGCGAGCGCTCACCGCCAATTCAGACGACCCAAATGACCTTCAGCCACTCACGCCAGCGCATTTCTTAATGCAGAGGAAGACTATCTGCCTACCCCTGGCATATTTGAGAAAGCAGATCAGTATCACAGAAGGAAATGGAGGCAGGTACAATTTCTGGCAGACCTATTTTGGAAGAGGTGGTTGCGTGAGTATTTACCTACCCTGCAAGCCCGAGGAAAGTGGAGAAAGGTCTTACCTAACCTGAAGCCGAAGGCCCTTGTCCTGTTAGTTGATGACAACGTGCCGAGAGGATGCTGGAAACTTGGACGAGTCCTAGAGGTCTTCCCTGGCCCCGACGGCCTGGTGCGCACAGCGAAAGTCAAGACAAAGGACTCTGTGTTCATCCGACCTATTCAGAAGCTATGCCTACTGGAGAACGATCTTGAGAATAATTAGTCTAGGCTAGTGACGTTGGGCCTACCTACTGGGTTGTCCCAAGGCCGGCGGAATGTTTAGTCCAAATTTTATTTTGA